GTGCGTGCGTGCGTGCGTGCGTGCGTGCGTGCGTGCGTGCGTGCGTGTGTTTCTCGAACGTATCGCTCGAATCTGATCTTTCGTTTCGTGGCGACAATCGAAGACACCTCGTTGTAACACCCCCACGATCGGTTACACTCGGCTCGAATGGCCGGTCCGAATCGAGTACTTGGAAGAAACGAGCAGCTCGAAGGAACCGAGTAGCTCGGAGAGAAGCGAGCGGCTCGTACCAAACCGAGTAGCTCGGAGAGAAGCGAGTAGCTCGAAAGAACCGAGTAAATCGGACCGAAGCGAGCGGCTAGGAGAAGGCGGATTCACGTTGGCGAAACGTGACGGTCCGTGTCGTATAGTCTGAATCGACCTTTACTCGGTTCTTTCGAGCTACTCGCTTCTCTCCGAGCTACTCGGTTCTTTCGAGCTGCTCGTTTCTTCTGAGTACTCGACTCGAATCGAAAACTGGGTCTCAGCTCGACTCGGCTCGGGAGCAACTCGAAACATCCGAGTTTTCTGCAGGCCTAGTGGTGACTGCGTGCTCTAAATAGTTACAACGGACTATAAATGAACTCTTGAGTAAAAGACAAAATCGGGTGTTGACAATGGAAACGAAACAAAAATTTTAAAGCGGCACGTTTTATTTATATTGGCAGCAATATAAGAAATACGCTCGAAAATAGCCCGTTTTTGCGAGTATGTCATAAAGCATCGTTAATGTTTATTTTATACCTGATAATGGCACGTACGATCCGACAGCAACAAAATTTGAAAAACATCATCAACTAAATTTTATAGAAACAATTTTTCGTCACAGGTCATTTTTTTTAGAGTTATCAAGGCCACAGACGTTTATTTAAATAAAAGTTTGTAGCTTTTATGTAATATTATTAAAGTGTTCAAAAACATCAATTTAACATAAATGTCACTCGTTTCATAAATCTCTTCGCTAAGAGTTTCATGGTACAGATTTTGGAAATCGTCAAATATGTTACAATCAAAAGGATCTGGCCCAATAAGCTTGGTAAAAGTG